AATGAATTTCAAATGTTTTGAAGTAGTAAAAACATACACATTATAGAACCTCAATGCGAATTATAATCAATTCCTTCGTTGTTGTTTTTTTTTAAATTTCTAGGCGCTTTCCGGTTGCACTACATATTAGACAACAAAGGCCTACCCACGTAGCCCACCCCTCCCCATTCGACACTCCTTAACTGATCTAACCTTGGCCAACTTTCCCTTGGCCTACTGCGTTCCAGATTATTATACTTAACTTTAGCACGATAATAAAATTCATAACTAAATTCTACAGGCAATTCTCATCACAATGATATACATAGTTGTTCTAGAGGCTGCCAGGTTAAGTGTTTAGTGTTTAAGCCCTAAATAATATCGACACAAGTCAATAGCTGTAGCTTAAGGTAAAAAGGTAGTCATATTGGGGGTACATGGGGGGGGGGGGGGTGTTATAACACCCCCTAACCCCCCCCCCCTGCCTACGCCACTGGTCCGTATAGTTAAAACACCACAATACCTTGGATCAATTTTCTATCCATTATGGATGAGTTCATGCTACTGAGAGAAAGAGAGAGAGAGAGAGAGAGATGAGAGAGAGAGAGAGAGAGAGAGAGAGAGAGAGAGAGAGAAGGTAGGGGGGGGAGTGTGAGGGTGGAAATATAAGACCATGTATGCAGGGGCGTAGCGAGGGGGGGGCGGGGGGTGCGCACCGCACCGGGTGACACCATTTAGGGGGCATAAAAAATAGCAAAATATATAGAGAAAAACTTGAGGAGGGGGTGCAAATCGAAAGTTTGAGGGGGGGGGTGCAAATCGAAAACTTGAGGGGGGGGGGGGTGCAAATCGAAAGTTTGAGGGGGGGGTGCAAATCGAAAACTTGAAAGTTTGTCCCGGGTAGGGTCGCTACGCCTCTGGGGGGGGGGGATGACACCATTAAGTGCCGCACCGGGTGACACCCGACCTCGCTACGCCACTGCATGTATGATAAGGGAGAAAGAGCGGGAGTTGAGGTATTGAGTAAGTCTTATTTTTTTTAAAATTTTGAATAGTAATTTAACAAATATTTTCTTTTGCACCTTTAATCTTTTGCACCTTTAAAAGTGAAAAGTAAAGTATCATATCAACCCTGGCCGCGAAGCTGAGTTGTTTCAATGACCTCAGCATATGGTCAGCTCTATGACAAGCCACCCTTACTTTCCATAACGTGAGTCAAGTAGCCTACACATCAGAGTTGTCTGGACGTAGGTACGATCTTTGGACACGAAGCTGAGTTGTTTCAATGACCTCAGCATATGGTCAGCTCTATGACAAGCCACCCTTACTTTCCATAACGTGAGTTAAGTAGCCTACATATCAGAGTTGTAGAGTTGTCTGGACGTAGGTACGATCTTTGGACACGAAGCTGAGTTGTTTCAATGACCTCAGCATATGGTCAGCTCTATGACAAGCCACCCTTACTTTCCATAACGTGAGTCAAGTAGCCTACACATCAGAGTTGTATGGACGTAGGTACGATCTTTGGACACGAAGCTGAGTTGTTTCAATGACCTCAGCATATGGTCAGCTCTATGACAAGCCACCCTTACTTTCCATAACGTGAGTCAAGTAGCCTACACATCAGAGTTGTATGGACGTAGGTACGATCTTTGGACACGAAGCTGAGTTGTTTCAATGACCTCAGCATATGGTCAGCTCTATGACAAGCCACCCTTACTTTCCATAACGTGAGTTAAGTAGCCTACACATCAGAGTTGTAGAGTTGTCTGGACGTAGGTACGATCTTTGGACACGAAGCCGATAATCAAAAAGTTTTCTTTCAGATGGGGGGGGGGGGCTTGAAACTTTCGGGGTGGGGGGTGGACTTAAATTTTAGAGCAGAGGGCAGAGATTCTCTAAAAATTTTAAGTCCCCTCCCCCACCCAGAGAAAAAAGTCTGAAAGAAACACTTGGGAGGTTGGGAGGGGGGGGGGGGGGGGCAGTGCCAAAGGTATGTCGAAATTCCGCTCTCGAGACTTTCAGGTTAGCGGTCTTACCATGTCTTATTTCAGAGACACTCTTCTTAAAACTGATCAATTTAGTGGTGGTGCAATATGTATTGGGCTAAAGTGGGACGTCATTTAAGTCTCTGTGTGTGTATGTGGGTATGTGTGTGTGGAAGGGTGGTGGGGGGGGGGGGGTCGACAATGTCGAAAACACCCCGATGTCATGTGTGTTATGGACGACCCCAAAAACAGGATTGCTTTCAGTAAATTTTCTCCGAGAAGAGCACACAATTTTCATTTCCAATAGTTACAGTATATATGTCTATTTATACAGCAATATATTGTACAGGTATTACACGGACATCACAAAGGCTAATAGTCGAATTGCCGGGCAAAGGAACTCGTACACAGACTGTATTGAAACTTTAAATCACATTTGAACAGGCATTGTACACAGAGGCGTAGCGACCCTTCCCGGCGCCCTGGGACAAACTTTCAATTTAGGGCCCCCTCTGGAGCGAATTTTCAAATTTTCAATTTGCACCCCCCCCCCCCTCAAACTTTTGATTTTTGCAATCCCCCCCCTCAAACTATTTATAATGCAAAAGTGCAGCTAAAATGAAAATTTTAATTTGTTTTTACAACCTATTTTGGCGCCCCCCCTAAGGTCGGTCGGCGCCCGGGGACATATGTACCACCCTGAACTTGATAATTTGTGAAAGCTAGGCATTGTTGTACATCTATTTTATCGACACGAAAACTTAAATTATATCATGAACTCGATAATTTGTGAAAGTTACGCATTATTGTACATCTATTTTATCGACACGAAAACTTGAATTATATCATGAACTCGATAATTTGTGAAAGCTAGGCATTGTTGTACATCTATTTTATCGACACGAAAACTTAAATTACATCACGAACTCGATAATTTGTGAAATCTTCTATGACAGCTTAGAAAGAAAACAACGTCGGCTTCTTCAAAGGGCTTGTTAAAAACAGTGGCGTAGCGAGGTCGGGTGTCATCCAGGGCGGCACTTAATGGTGTCACCCCCCCCCCCCCAAAGGCGTAGCGACCCTTCCCGGGGACAAACTTTCAAATTTCCGATTTGCACCCACCCTCGAACTATCGATTTGCACCCTCCCCTCAAACTTTCGATTTGCACCCCCCCCCCTCGAACTTTCGATTTGCACCCCCCTCAAGTTTTTTTCTATATATTTTGCTATTTTTTGCCTTGGTGTCACCCCCCCCCCCCAAAATGGTGTCACCCGGTGCGGTCCGGACCCCCACCCCCCTCGCTACGCCTCTGGTTAAAAAATGATGGACAATTTACCCCCCCCCCCCCTGCCATAGTCACACAAGTTCAAAGAATGTCAGAATTCCCACACCCCCTTATAATATAGTCACAATTCAGCTTACACCTTTTCCAAATTGCATTACTTTTATGACAGCGATTTTTTTTCCTATATTATCAATTGGTCTTGGTCATTATTAGGTTTATGTTGATGTGTTAATGTTGGTCAATAAATATAAAACAAAACAAAACAAAACAAAACAACAAACAAAATAGCTACTTAAATGCTAAAATTCAGTTCAAAACGTTATAGATCTACTTGTAAACATACAATGTTTAAGACTTTCTCTATAAAAACACATCTTCACATAACTCTCTCTCTATATATCTCCTCCCCCCCCCCCCCCCATTTGGAAAGTGGCATAATTTATGATAAAAAAAACAGGTAACCAACAGGACCAGCTGATTACACAGAGGCGCTTTCATAAACTTTTGTTATTTAAAAAGTGAACGTCCTAGCTTGTTTATGTTTACTTTATTAATTAGTTATTTTACACTAAAGAATTTTAAAAAAATGCTTCTAGTTCTCTCCTTGGACACGGCTCCTAAAATGTGATTAAGGTAATCGTTCTTAGTTTTTCAGTAATAATACTAATAAGAACAAGAGTCCAACTTTACGCATCAAACTAAATTAAAATGGGAAAACCCGATTTTAGATTAAAAGGAAGAAATACAAACTACAAACTACACATAACTTGTTGGTTAAACATGGCTCCACGGACGCCAAAGTCAGTTGTAAAATGAATTTATCACGTAGTCTAGATCCAGTTCAAAATCCTGTCTGGAACTGTCTAAAATTTGGTGTCGTATTTTTTCTAAGCTTAATATTTAGAAAAAAATACTTTAGATCTAGATCTATATAGATCTACCATTTTTAAAACATTTACTTAGACTTAAGTCTTACTTAGACTTTGGCATATTCTAGAATCTCTATCTAGATCTAGAATTCTAGATCTAGATCTAGATTCTAGATCTAGACTATAACTAGATCTGAGTTTAGCTCTAGATCTATTACCTAGATCTTGATATAGATCTAGACCAGTAAACGTAAGAAAACACTATGGACTCAGGTATAGAAGCTTATCTTAGACGAGTTTCAGGCATTCTTACGTTTACTTTCAAAAGTACATCACTCAAGACACCCCTGTTTACAACACACCAGACAGCCCTGTTTACTTTCAAGCTAACAGCACATCAGACAGCCCAAGAGTTTCTTCCAGCCCCCCCCCCCCCCCCCCGAACGAGATGGAATTTATATAGTAAAAATATACTTTACTAGTGTCCGCCCCGCCGGAAAATGTTGACCCCCCCCCCCCCCGAAAATATCAAGTGCCCCCCCCCCCCCCGGGAAAAAAAAGTCTGGAAGAAACACTGGACAGCCCTGTTTACTGTCAAGCTAACAGCACATCAGACAGCCCTGTTTACTGTCAAAACTACATCACACCAGGCCTTATTTTGTTGCTCTCAGCATTTAATTCAAAGCGACTTTTGAAAGACGTTCACATCAGTTTTTGATAAACTTTTGAAAGACGTCACATCGGTTTGTTTTTGATAAACTTTTGAAAGACGTTCACATTAGTTTGTTTTTGATAAACGTTTGAAAGACGTTCACATCAGTTTGTTTTTGATAAACTTTTGAAAGACGTCACATCGGTTTGTTTTTGATAAACTTTTGAAAGACGTTCACATTAGTTTGTTTTTGATAAACGTTTGAAAGACGTTCACATCAGTTTGTTTTTGATAAACTTTTGAAAGACGTCACATCTGTTTGTTTTTGATAAACTTTTGACAGTGGTTTATTGTTTTAGTTTGGTTCAATAAGTAACGCTTTAGTGTGCTATATCAGACACACTTCAATGTGTGACGTATTAGTATGCTATATCAGACGCGCTTAAAATGTAAGCCGACATTTTATCTAAGAAAAAAGAATGATGGACAAAAACTTCAAGTTCATAAATCCTCTATTCCAGATCACAGCTTCAGATATTTCAATGAAGACTCTAATTTAGTCTGATCAAGAAAATAGAAATGCCCTCGTTACAACTCCATCAAAACTCCATAAACTCCATTGTTTGAACCCAGCTCTATGACTATTAATAAATTGAAGGCTGTGTTTTGAACCCAGCTCTATGACTATCAATAAATTGAAGACTGTGATTTGAACCCACCTCGCAGACGATAACATGCCGCCCAAACAGAAACCAGTGAATCGCAAACAGCTGCAGACGATCGCACCCTACACCCCCACCATCGACGTCACGCCCGCCATTATCTTCACCATGATCTTTGGTATCGTCATCATCATTGTCTTACAGCCATAAAACATGTAATGTCCATCTTTTTCTTACAGCCATAAAACATGTAATGTCCATCTTTTTAAACATTTTAAACTCACCCTTTACACACCCTATATTGTAAAGTCTAGCGTATCTAATTGACTCTTGACACATCCCAATAGAAAATAGAAGATTAATCATTAAAACGAAAATTTGTTAAAGCCAAAAAGTGAAAGATTAAGTCAGTAATGGGACGTTTCGAAGAACTGCATAATGCCGATATTGATTGTGAAAAACATGGAGAGTCTACTGTCTCGCACACCATCGGGTAACTTTGGAGTTTTTGGGGTAGACATCCAGACCGTTGCCACAGTTCTCGTCCTCATCCTCATCGCCTACATCTACTTCTCCAACGTCAACCTGGGCTTGTTCCTGAGTTTGGTGGGCGTGGTGGTAGTCAAGTCCTTCATCCTCTGTAACTATGTGAACAGAAACGCTCGCATGAGTGAAATTAACTTACACTAATTGAACGTAGATGCGACAGTAAAGAAAGAGAACTAAATACACTTGTATTGGCCTTTTTGGTATATTGTTATTTGTTATTTTTTATTTTTTTTAGAATTAATCGTAACACACCTTATCTACAAGCACAGAGCGACAAAGGAGGGGACATTTACAACAGCTATTGCCTAACACAAGGGGACATTTACAACAGCTATTGCCTAACACAAGGGGACATTTACAACAGCTATTGCCTAACACAAGGGGACATTTACAACAGCTATTGCCTAACACAAGGGGACATTTACAACAGCTATTGCCTAACACAAGGGGACATTTACAACAGCTATTGCCTAACACAAGGGGTCATTTACAACAGCTATTGCCTAACACAAGGGGTCATTTACAACAGCTATTGCCTAACACAAGGGAACATTTACAAACTAGGGGGATGGTTGTTAAAAGTGAAGTATTACAATTCAGCTACTTAGAGTTAAACAACAAGACACTGGATTAATATTATATATATATATATATATATATATATATATATATATATATATATGTCAATAATTATACCACATTTATATGTAACACTAGTTACACTTAAAATACTAGGCCGTATCTCCAATGAGGTTCTCTTTGTTTCGAATGAAACGAAAGTGAATGCATCCAATTAACTATAGAATATAGATCAAACTGAAAGCGGAGAATGTTTGAATTGATGTGTCTTATCCAGGCTGCTTATAATATTTATAACATTATTTTTCTTTAATCCCAAATATATTTCAGCTCTTCTTATAAGCCCATACCCCCTCAACCCACCCCAACGGAAAGAAAAATACTCTTGAATCACAATTTAATCAAACACTGCAATTTCAGGTTTAAAATGAAATTGTAATTAGACGTTTTGTATTAGATCTATGTATAAGTAAACCACCTTAAATGAATGAAAGTACATATCAGAAAGAAGTATTACTATTGTAAATCTGTATCAGTCCTCATAAGCCGATGATGAAAGCTGTAATACTAAAGCGAACATGCAAGGCTGTAAATTACATGCCTGAAGCAAACCTAAAAAAAATATCAAATTAACTGTGCATAAAACCGAAATTCACCGAAAACAAGAAAACATAAAACCTAAACGAATTTTAAAATATCAATTAATCACTAATCTGTATAACTGAACTGGATACAATGTTTTCTTCAACACAAGAAAACGTAGATGTAATTGATTGAAATAGCTTGAAAATTCAATCACTAGCAGCTGTTGACAAGCAGAACACGTGATATGATGCGATGCTTCGATACCGACCAAACGTTTCGGAGCGTTAAACGGGATAACACAGAGAGAGAGGGGGTGAGGGTGGGGTATGTGTGTGTACAAATACGAAATGTCAAGATTAGACCTAATCGAATGAGCTTACACAGAATCAATAGCATGTTGTGTGTGGATTAACCCCACATTAAATCCCTCCCATGTCAATTGTGCGTGATGTGAGGTTTTTCCCAGTGCGGTAAAGTATCAATATCTGGTCAAGTGAGCTCTGCTGGTCTGAGCTATGGCTGGCCATCTTCGTCTGCTGCTGTGTCTCATCGTCTGCTTCGGTGTGACTCTGCTCACTCTGGTCAATCTCTTTGATGCCTCCGCCTGGTCCGTGGAGTACTCGTCTTGCCAGGGTGAAGGACGGCAGCTGGGAGAGAGAATGGCGACCCAAGGGGTGCCGGTTGTCTGGGAGCCGGTTAAAAGAGAACCGGAAATCGTGGAGGTCAAGCCTGACGTGTGGGATACCACTGGTGCTAGAGGTAAGTGTTGGTGTGATAGGTAAGTGTTGATGTCATAGGTAAGTGTTGGTGTCATAGGTAAGTGTTGGTGTCATAGGTAAGTGTTGGTGTCATAGGTAAGTGTTGGTGTCATAGGTAAGTGTTGGTGTCATAGGTAAGTGTTGGTGTCATAGGTAAGTGTTGGTGTCATAGGTAAGTGTTGGTGTCATAGGTAAGTGTTGGTGTCATAGGTAAGTGTTGGTTGGTGTCATAGGTAAGTGTTGGTGTCATAGGTAAGTGTTGGTGTCATAGGTAAGTGTTGGCTGGTGTCATAGGTATGTGTTGATGTCATAGGTTGGTCATACCATTAGGCTAATCAACACTTATGTCAACAGTAAGACAGTCCATAAACAGAAAGGTCAACAAGTGTAACATCATCCACCCTTTGTCCTAGATTTCCTGATCCAGTACAACAAGATATTGAACAACGACAGTCAGCCCATGACGGCCGACCCTGGGAACATTTCCAGCATCACTGAATGGTGGCAGGCAGCGGCCATGATTAACTGGTCAGTTGCTCAGTTTCATGGCTTCACATTTTAGTCACCTGTCCTGTTTAATTCTTTAGTCACATGTCCTGTTGAATTCTTTAGTCAACTGGCCTGTTGAATTCTTTAGTCAATTGTCCTGTTGAATTCTTTAGTCACCCGTCCTGTTGAATTCTTTAGTCAACTGTCCTGTTGAATTCTTTAGTCAACTGTCCTGTTGTTGAATTCTTTAGTCAACTGTCCTGTTGAATTCTTTAGTCACCTGTCCTGTTGAATTCTTTAGTCACCTGTCCTGTTAAATTCTTTAGTCACCTGTCCTGTTGAATTCTTTAGTCAACTGGCCTGTTGAATTCTTTAGTCAATTGTCCTGTTGAATTCTTTAGTCAACTGTCCTGTTGAATTCTTTAGTCACCCGTCCTGTTGAATTCTTTAGTCACCTGTCCTGTTAAATTCTTTAGTCAACTGTCCTGTTAAATTCTTTTGTCAACTGTCCTGTTGAATTCTTTTGTCAACTGTCCTGTTGAATTCTTTAGTCAACTGTCCTGTTGAATTCTTTAGTCAACTGTCCTGTTGAATTCTTTAGTCAACAGTCCTATTGAATTCTTTAGTCAACTGTCCTGTTGAATTCTTTAGTCAACTGTCCTGTTGAATTCTTTAGTCAACTGTCCTGTTGTTAAATTCTTTAGTCAACTGTCCTGTTGAATTCTTTAGTCACCTGTCCTGTTGAATTCTTTAGTCAACTGTCCTGTTGAATTCTTTAGTCACCTGTCCTGTTGAATTCTTTAGTCAACTGTCCTGTTGAATTCTTTAGTCAACTGTCCTGTTGAATTCTTTAGTCACCTGTCCTGTTGAATTCTTTAGTCAAATGTCCTGTTTAATTCTTTATTCACCTGTCCTGTTGAATTCTTTAGTCAACTGTCCTGTTGAATTCTTTAGTCAACTGTCCTGTTGAATTCTTTAGTCAACTGTCCTGTTAAATTCTTTAGTCACCTGTCCTGTTGAATTCTTTAGTCAACTGTCCTGTTGAATTCTTTAGTCAACTGTCCTGTTGAATTCTTTAGTCAGCTGTCCCGTTGTTGAATTCTTTAGTCAACTGTCCTGTTGAATTCTTTAGTCAACAGTCCTGTTGAATTCTTTAGTCAACAGTCCTGTTGAGTTCTTTAGTCAACTGTCCTGTTGAATTCTTTAGTCAACTGTCCTGTTGAATTCTTTAGTCAACTGTCCTGTTGAATTCTTTAGTCAACTGTTCTGTTGAATTCTTTAGTCACCTGTCCTGTTGAATTCTTTAGTCAACTGTCCTGTTGAATTCTTTAATCACCTGTCCTGTTGAATTCTTTAGTCAACTGTCCTGTTGAATTCTTTAGTCAACTGTCCTGTTGAATTCTTTAGTCACCCGTCCTGTTGAATTCTTTAGTCACCCGTCCTGTTGAATTCTTTAGTCAACTGTCCTGTTGAATTCTTTAGTCAACAGTCCTGTTGAATTCTTTAGTCAACTGTCCTGTTTAATTCTTTAGTCAGCTGTCCTGTTGAATTCTTTAGTCAACTGTCCTGTTGAATTCTTTAGTCACCCGTCCTGTTGAATTCTTTAGTCAGCTGTCCCGTTGTTGAATTCTTTAGTCAACTGTCCTGTTGAATTCTTTAGTCAACAGTCCTGTTGAATTCTTTAGTCAACTGTCCTGTTTAATTCTTTAGTCAGCTGTCCTGTTGAATTCTTTAGTCAACTGTCCTGTTGAATTCTTTAGTCAACTGTCCTGTTGAATTCTTTAGTCAACTGTCCTGTTGAATTCTTTAGTCAACTGTCCTGTTAAATTCTTTTGTCAACTGTCCTGTTGAATTCTTTAGTCAACTGTCCTGTTAAATTCTTTTGTCAACTGTCCTGTTGAATTCTTTAGTCAACTGTCCTGTTTAATTCTTTAGTCAGCTGTCCTGTTGAATTCTTTAGTCAACTGTCCTGTTGAATTCTTTAGTCAACTGTCCTGTTGAATTCTTTAGTCAACTGTCCTGTTGAATTCTTTAGTCAACTGTCCTGTTAAATTCTTTTGTCAACTGTCCTGTTGAATTCTTTAGTCAACTGTCCTGTTAAATTCTTTTGTCAACTGTCCTGTTGAATTCTTTAGTCAACTGTCCTGTTGAATTCTTTAGTCAACTGTCCTGTTAAATTCTTTTGTCAACTGTCCTGTTGAATTCTTTAGTCAGCTGTCCTGTTGAATTCTTTTTGTTGAATTCTTTAGTCAACTGTCCTGTTGTTGAATTCTTTAGTCACCCGTCCTGTTGAATTCTTTAGTCAACTGTCCTGTTAAATTCTTTAGTCAACTGTCCTGTTGAATTCTTTAGTCACCCGCCCTGTTGAATTCTTTAGTCACCCGCCCTGTTGAATTCTTTAGTCAACTGTCCTGTTTAATTCTTTAGTCACCTGTACTGTTGAATTCTTTTTGTTGAATTCTTTAGTCAACAGTCCTGTTGTTAAATTCTTTAGTCAAATGTCCTGTTGAATTATTTAGTCACCTGTCCTGTTGAATTCTTTAGTCAACAGTCCTGTTGAATTCTTTAGTCAACTGTCCTGTTGAATTCTTTAGTCAAATGTCCTGTTGAATTCTTTAGTCAACTGTCCTGTTGAATTCTTTAGTCAACTGTCCTGTTGAATTCTTTAGTCAACTGTCCTGTTGAATTCTTTAGTCAACTGTCCTGTTGAATTCTTTAGTCAAATGTCCTGTTGAATTCTTTAGTCAACTGTCCTGTTGAATTCTTTAGTCAACTGTCCTGTTGAATTCTTTAGTCAACTGTCCTGTTGAATTCTTTAGTCAACTGTCCTGTTGAATTCTTTAGTCAACTGTCCTGTTGAATTCTTTAGTCAACAGTCCTGTTGTTAAATTCTTTAGTCAACTGTCCTGTTGAATTCTTTAGTCAACTGTCCTGTTGAATTCTTTAGTCAATTGTCCTGTTGAATTCTTTAGTCAACAGTCCTATTGAATCCTGTAGTTAAATGTTCTGGGTAGTTCTCCGTTCAACTGTTTACTTGTGTGGAATGACCAATTGTTTACTTGTGTGGAATGACCAACTGTTTTTTTAAGTCCTTCTCTCAACAGATCTGTGATGTTCTATATTCTCTTGTAGAAATTACAATGCCAATCGTCAAAAAGCACAAACATGCCTTTGATCTGTCTACAGCTAAATCAAAATTCAGAATTTGGTTTGGATTGCAGTTTTAACAGAGGGTATCGGAAAAAAATATAAACAGCACCAAGAGTACTAAAAAACTTTGAACTTCCACAGGTATTTTAATTCTTCGACCAGATTTCAGTGCACCGACGGCTTGTCGTGGGTGGGCAAGTTGTATGCTCTCTGCTCAGGTCGACCTTTCACCATCAGGAAGTCATGCTTCGTCTACTCATTCGGGTCAGTTATCAGTTGGGTACAGTGGCGTAGCTACCGTAAAGCTAGCGTAAGCAAGGCATAGGGCCCAAGGCAAATAGGGGCCCTTTTTCAAAAGTTTGAGGGGGGGGGGGGTGCAAATCGAAAAATCGAAAGTCTGGGGGGGGGGTGCAAATATAAAGTCTGAGGGAGGATGCAAGTCGAAAGTCTGAGGGGGGGAGGGCGCAAGGGTCGCTACGCCTCTGAGGGGCCCACTAACACTTTTTGCAAAGGGGCCCAAAAATCCTAGCTACGCCACTGGTTGGGTAGATGTTAACATTTGTCTAGACTATTTTACGTTTCTGTCAGGAAAGAAAAATTAGTTTGAAATCCCTAATGTCACGTGAATTTTTTTTACCGGATAGAATTAATCACAACTTCCGGTTTGAGGAGCACATGGATTGGCAAGGTTGTGACGTCAGATCATTCGATCCAGGGTAAGTTGCCCCCTTATTTTTACAATAAATTTTGCAGTTGTTTTCACCCACTCCCCGGTAAAAGGTTTAAAGTGTTTACATTTAATACTAACGATGTCTGTCTATAGTCGGTTGTTAATACAGCTGGGTGTAACATTATTTTACCTATAGTTTACCGCATGTTTACCTCAATGTGGACTCCTCCCCCCTTGTCGGGATCATACATTTCTACTTAAATACTTTTTAACTCTAATTAATCATTCATTTAACTGACAAAAATTAACCAAAAATTCTATATATCTTGCATTTTTCTCTCGGTGTCACCCCCCCCCCCCCCTAAACGGTGTCACCCGGTGCGGTCCGCACCCCCAACCGACGCCTTTGATATATATATATATATATATATATATATATATATATATATATATATATATATATATATATATATATATATATATATATATATATATATATATATATAAAGCAAAGTGGTCAGGCGCCCGATAAGGCACTTCCCGGCGCCCCAGGCGCGTCCGAAAAGTTTACGTCCCTTTGCTCCCTCCCTACAATGTTTGCCTTATTTCTTTTATTTATCAAGAGAATTGACATTGCTTGCTTTATGTTTTGTTTGCAGGATGAACGTCAGTGACCACTCCCGTAAAAAATCCACACGTTTTTACAACATGGGGATAAGTCCAAGTAACACGGACATATACTCAAGGTCTGCTCAAGGTCAAGGTCAAAAATGGAAGATGCGAACTTTAAAGACAATCAAAAAATTACTCGGACAGGAAGATGTGAGTATTCTAACCTTGTATATTTACAAACACACACATACGCATGCGCGCGCATAGATACTCACACGCATACACATACCGACAGAAATACACATGCACGAGCACACCCGCATGCATATACTCACATATATATGGGGTTAAGGTTTGCTGATGTAATGTTGTTTTTGATCACATGTTTTTGTATGTGAGTGTTTTTTTTTTCTGTGGTTGATACGACTATTGATGTAGCTGCTGGTGCTTTTTGATACAACTGTTGATGTGGCTGTGGATGTTGTTGATACAACTGTTGATGTGGCTGTGGGTGTTGTTGATACAACTGTTGATGTGGCTGTGGATGTTGTTGATACAACTGTTGAAGTGGCTGTGGAAGTTGTTGATACAACTGTTGATGTGGCTGTAGATGTTGTTGAAACAATGACCTATGTGGTGGTGGATGTTGTTGATACGACAATTGGTGTGGCTGTGGATGTTGTTGAAACAATGACCGTTATGGTTGCTGTTGAAACAATGACCGTTATGGATGTTGTTGAAACAATGACCGTTATGGATGTTGTTAAAACAATGACCGTTATGGTTGCTGTTGAAACAATGACCGTTATGGTTATGGATGTGGTTGAAACAATGACCGTTATGGTTATGGATGTGGTTGAAACAATGACCGTTATGGTTGCTGTTGAAACAATGACCGATGTGGTTGCTGCCCTCCAGCAAATCATAGACGCGCTTAAGCTGAACATCGGCGGCGACGAGTGGGAGGTGCTGGCCAACCTGATGGAGACCGACATGTTCCGCTCCGTCAGACTTCTGCTGGTCAAGTTCCACCTGGTACCGCCGCGGACACCTAAGGAAAATTTCGTTCTGTACTTTCAGGTGGGTCTTTGTTTTCAGGTGTGTCTTTGTTTTCAGGTGTGTCTTTGTTTTCAGGTGGGTCTTTGTTTTCAGGTGTGTCTTTGTTTTCAGGTGTGTCTTTGTTTTCAGGTGGGTCTTTGTTTTCAGGTGTGTCTTTGTTTTCAGGTGTGTCTTTGTTTTCAGGTGTGTCTTTGTTTTCAGGTGGGTCTTTGTTTTCAGGTGTGTCTTTGTTTTCAGGTGTGTCTTTGTTTTCAGGTGGGTCTTTGTTTTCAGGTGGGTCTTTGTTTTCAGGTGGGTCTTTGTTTTCAGGTGTGTCTTTGTTTTCAGGTGTGTCTTTGTTTTCAGGTGGGTCTTTGTTTTCAGGTGGGTCTTTGTTTTCAGGTGGGTCTTTGTTTTCAGGTGTGTCTTTGTTTTCAGGTGGGTCTTTGTTTTCAGGTGGGTCTTTGTTTTCAGGTGGGTCTTTGTTTTCAGGTGGGTCTTTGTTTTCAGGTGGGTCTTTGTTTTCAGTAGTTGAGGAACTAGAAAAATACCCTCTCCCCCACATACCGCAAAGGTATTTTGTCCCCGCCCCCCCCCCCCCCCCCCAGACAGACACGTACACGCACATGTGCATATGGAAGCCTACTTTTAAACTGCCACATTTTCCAACAAAAAACTGTCTTCTTGTCCACGTCAAATTTAACTAGATTCTAGATCTTGAATTACATTCAAATATGATTATTGGACCCCTCCCCCCCCAAATGTTTGAGGCAAACAAGCTCTTTGCGTGGAGAGCGACAAGTAAAGATATCACAACAATAATCAGTTGGAGGGACTGGATAGATTTTGATAGAGCCACAAATATAAAATAAATAGGCCTGGTTAGTCTTGTGACTTAGGACCGTCTGATGTTCACGTTTTGACGTCTTACTTTCTGACGTCATGTTTGAAATTGTCATACTGACGACATACTCTTTGGAGGCTGCATTAGGATGTTCCATTTTTCGACGTCACACTCTTTGGAGGCTGCATTAGGATGTTCCATTTTTCGACGTCACACTCTTTGGAGGCTGCATTAGGATGTTCCATTTTTCGACGTCACACTCTTTGGAGGCTGCATTAGGATGTTCCATTTTTCGACGTCACACTCTTTGGAGGCTGCATTAGGATGTTCCATTTTTCGACGTCACACTCTTTGGAGGCTGCATTAGGATGTTCCATTTTTCGACGTCACACTCTTTGGAGGCTGCATTAGGATGTTCCATTTTTTACTTCATATTTTAATCTTCCTGCCTCTTGACGTCATAATAACGAACGTGTTCTGACTTTTGACGTCATGTTCGAATAGTTTTGGTTTAAAGCCAGCACGTGGCTTAACGGGGTGCACGCTTTCTGTGACGTCATCTAATGGAATATTTTGGTAGCAGTTCATCCTTGTTATACTCTTAAAGAAATCTCCTACCTATACAGAGTTACAATCATCAGCAACAAAGACCACACCTTTTTGACCAACAGTTTTAGCCGCTTTGCACAGTTTACCGGCTATCGATAACTAATTGATTTATCGATTAAACACTTCAAGTTATTGATTCCTAGTACTTGTAATTAGGGAGCTCAAAGTTTATGCTGACTCAAACATAGGCTAGTTTTTTTTAGCAGGATCACATGACCTTGTATCATTGAGTGATACTTGTTAGTGCCAACTGATACTTGTTAGTGCCAACTGATACTTGTTAGTGTCCACTGAGACTTGCTAATGTAGTGCCAACTGAGACTTGCTAATGTAGTGCCCACTGAGACTTGTTAGTGCCCACTGAGACTTGCTAATGTAGTGCCCACTGAGACTTGCTAAAGTAGTGCCCACTGAGACTTGTTAGTGCCCACTGAGACTTGTTAGTGCCTACTGAGACTTGTTAGTCCCACTGAGACTTGTTATTGTAGTGCCCACTGAGACTTGTTAGTGCCCACTGAGACTTGTTAGTGCCCACTGAGACTTGTTAGTGCCCACTGAGACTTGTTAGTGCCTACTGAGACTTGTTAGTGCCCACTGAGACTTGTTAGTGCCTACTGAGACTTGTTAGTCCCACTGAGACTTGTTATTGTAGTGCACACTGAGACTTGTTAGTGCCCACTGAGACTTGCTAATCTAGTGCCCACTGAGACTTGTTAGTGCCCACTGAGACTTGTTAGTCCCACTGAGACTTGTTATTGTAGTGCCCACTGAGACTTGTTAGTGCCCACTGAGACTTGTTAGTGCCTACTGAGACTTGTTAGTCCCACTGAGACTTGTTAATGTAGTGCCCACTGAGACTTGTTATTGTAGTGCCCACTGAGACTTGTTAGTGCCCACTGAGACTTGTTATTGTAGTGCCCACCGAGACTTGTTATTGTAGTGCCCACTGAGACTTGTTAGTGCCTACTGAGACTTGTTAGTCCCACTGAGACTTGTTAATGTAGTGCCCACTGAGACTTGTTATTGTAGTGCCCACTGAGACTTGTTAGTGCCCACTGAGACTTGTTATTGTAGTGCCCACCGAGACTTGTTATTGTAGTGCCCACTGAGACTTGTTAATGTAGTGCCCACTGAGACTTGTTATTGTAGTGCCCACTGAGACTTGTTAGTGCCCACTGAGACTTGTTATTGTAGTGCCCACCGAGACTTGTTATTGTAGTGCCCACCGAGACTTGTTATTGTAACATCTTCTACTAACCCTAACCCTATGTTTTCACCAGACTTTGACCCGACTGCGCCAGATGGGTCTACGTGAGTACTACATCAATGTGGACGAGCTGTCTCTCACGCCTGACCACTTCCTGTTGAAGGCGTCCGTCTTTTTTGGTAACGTCAACTTTAAATGGTTCTATTAAGACATGCTCCTCAACTGTTTTATCATTCAACCATTTGTATTGATTTTGTATTGATTTATTAAACTATCCATCCAACATTTACGTCTCGCTGTTTAATTTACTGGACTTTGTTACACCCATTACAACTGCAATACTACAACTTCACTACGACATTCTCGGTCTAACCCAGTATTTCCACCTGAAGCTAATGATGTTTGAAATGCAACACTAAAAAGAATACTTAATACCTTGATTGTCTAAAATCGTTATCGAGATTTGAACACTTTGCCTTGATAACCATAATTATACAACAGCAGTTCAACCAACCCATCAGTTTAGTAGCAAATGTGAAATAGTAAAAAAAAACCGATTTTGTTACGGTGAAATATGTAAAAGGGTATCTAGACAACATGCATTGGATCATGTAGACAACAGGTCATCTAGACAACAGGCAACAGGTCATCTAGACAACAGGCAACAGGTCATCTAGACAACAGGCAACAGGTCATCTAGACAACAGGTCATGTTGACAACAGGCAACAGGTCATCTAGACAACAGGCAACAAGTCATCTAGACAACAGGCAACAGGTCATCTAGACAACAGGCAACAGGTCATCTAGACAACAAGCAACAGGTCATCTAGACAACAGGAAACAGGTCATCTAGACAACAGGCAACATGTCATCTAGACAACAGGCAACAGGTCATCTAGACAACAGGTCATGTTGACAACAGGCAACAGGTCATCTAGACAACAGGCAACAGGTCATCTAGACAACAGGCAACAGGTCATCTAGGCAACAGGCAACAGGTCATCTAGGCAACAGGTCATCTAGACAACAAGCAACAGGTCATCTAGACAACAGGCAACAGGTCATCTAGACAACGGGCAACAGGTCAACAACACAACAGACATTAGATTGTGTAGACAACAGGTAACAGGTCATCTAGACAACAGGCAACAGGTCATCTAGACAACAAGCAACAGGTCATCTAGACAACAGGCAACAGGTCATCTAGGGAACAGGCAACAGGTCATCTAGACAACAGGCAACAGGTCATCTAGACAACAGGCAACAGGTCATCTAGGCAACAGGTCATCTAGACAACAGGCAACAGGTCATCTAGACAACAGGCAACAGGTCATCTAGACAACAGGCAACAGGTCATCTAGACAACAAGCAACAGGTCATCTAGACAACAGGCAACAGGTCATCTAGACAACAGGCAACAGGTCATCTAGACAACAGGCAACAGGTCATCTAGACAACAGGCAACAGGTCATCTAGACAACAGGCAACAGGTCATCTAGACAACAGGCAACAGGTCATCTAGACAACAGGCCATCTAGACAACAGGTCATGTTGACAACAGGCAACAAGTCATACAGTCAGCAAGTAAACGAACTTTTTGTTTTCAGATGTAAAATAATCAGTGTTTCTTCCAGAATTTTTTCTCCGGGGGGGGGGGGCATTTGAAATTTTCGGGGGAGGGGGGGCGGTAGACTTTCTTCGGGGGGGGGGGGGGGTGGGTGGACACTGTTAAAAGTATATATTTCTATATAAATTATATAAATTTCATTTCGTTCGGGGGGCGGTAAAAAAATTTCGGGGGGGGGCTTCGCCCCCCCCCCACCCCCCGAAGAGATGCCTGGAAGAAACTATGAAAATAATCCAGATAAAGAAAAAAAAACTTTAATAAATAATCAAAATTAAGACTTTTGGTTACCTAGATGGTGACGTAAAGGAGACACACTAAGCTAAAAAGTTAGATTTACACAGATTATCAGATTAAATCTGAACAGATGCTAACATGAAGTAGCAGGTTCAAACACAGATGTAAACATAAAATGGCGCAGCCCAACACTAAACAACAAAGTAAAATACAAAAAAGCGACTTGACCAATCAATCCCGTTCTATAAATAAACTGGCTTGGTTAACTGAAACCACCGCGTGCTTGAGGGGAAGGAGAGTAGCACGTGCGACCAATGGAGCGTGACAGCTGTGACCGGATGACGTCATACTGGTGTGTCCCATGTAAACAGTGTGTAGAGTTGCGCGGAGATTACGCGTGCAGCTTGCCAGTTCAATAGAAGGTGAGTAGAAATCTCAGGGTGTCGATTGTACGTGTACGGCTTCTAAATCTCAGCTTAATTAACAATTACAGGGGTTGGACGCTAGCATTGTTAATTAAATTAGTAATGTAGACATAAAGTATTCTTTCAATGCCAAAGGTAGACACAGGTAAATAATAATGTAGTGCTTGGCTATGAAAACAGACGATCAGAAGCAGAGGCGTATCCAGGTTTTCGTTGTATGGGGAGCGAAAAGAGCAAAAAAAGGCGCCGAATTTTTAACACGTTCTGTATACGTGTATATATATATATATATATATATATATATATATATATATATATATATATATATATATATATATAATTACTAGCTTTATGTTATTACTTCGCTATGATTTAAAATAAATTGAACGTACCACTCTGAAGAAATAAGAAAAAACACACAATGTAGGCCGACAAAACAAAAATTGTATCAATCTAAAAAAAAAAAAAAAAAAAAAAAAATATACACACACTACAACCACAAACAATGAACATAACACAATCTGTTTTGTAATTCTTGTAAAAAAAATTCTTACATAATAATTCCTGGGAAATTATTTAAGACAAGTGAAATAGGGGAAATAATCACTCTTTTAATATAAATATGTATATATTTACATAATTAATTATAAATGTCAAAACAAATAAATAATTACTTTTGAATATAATGAAATTGTTTAACACTATTCATGTATCCAAAATGTTTTTGTCTGTAATCAGAATAAAATATATCGTCATCATAAATGCTAAAGCATTACAGCATAAAGAAAGTTTTTGAAATCTGAGTTGGTATAAAACCACGCTTTTCGTTATTATAGAAAAACATTCGGAATGACGATCGCTTGTAATTAAATATCGGTATTGTAGTTCAGATTATATATTTTGAAATTAACTACTGATTCTTTGTGTTCTTTAAAGATCATTTTTTAACATAGTGATAGGTATAGGTTAGATGACTGTATAGCTCACACACCTTTTTACTGGTAATTGCAAAAACAATATTCATAGATTTTTACGTTTAAAAAGCTAATTTTCTGGCGGCATGTCACTTTGGTACATCATTACGCGTTTTCCCAAATGTACTTAACAGATCAATTCGGGGTGGGTTGGGGGTGGGGGTTCAACTTCATTCATCACTGTCCGGTCACTTTAGGTCAATTATCCAACCCAGAGTATACCCAGGTGTGACATTAATGTCGCTCTACACAATTGTGGTGGTGAGGTGTGTGTGTGGGGGGGGGGGGGGGGGGAGATAACCAACTCAGAGTGAAGATAGCGTCAGTTTTTAGATGACTGTTCTAAACATACATATATATTACATATGTATACTGATTCAGAAATAGATTTAAATAAGTAGCAGTGATATCATGACAATATTGTTTTTACAGAGGGGTCCATGGGGGAGGGGGGTTGTAACTGTTTCATATAATTTGTAATCGTAATCACTATCGCCCAGACTGTAAGAATACTACTACTTCATCATGATGACGTTGTTGACCTTGTCAAAATTTCCCCACCGCTACGCAGTTTGCCCATTAGTAAATTTAAATAGAGGTGCCTAATCAGTTGTATTTGTTTCTGTATTGTAATTTTTTTTTAAAATTAATCACACGATTCAAACTGTATATATATAAAGTAATTATGTGTGAAGTTTTATGTATAACATTTTCTAATTCAATTATTCGTAAGCAAATACATTATACAGTTGCCTTAAACTTAACACCCCTCTTGCCAAGTGATACTACCTGTAGATGTTTTTTAAACATTGCAAAGCATCGTAATAGTTATTTTTAGAATGGCAAACTGATGCATGTGTTAATACGTGTTGTAAATGTACACACTACTAGACTAGTACAATAATGCTTAATTGCTGCATGAAAAGAAATCTTGTGATTTACATGTGCCGACCAAAAATATTTTTATTTTTTAACAAATATCATTGTTTAAAACTTTGAGTTTAAAAAGTTTCCAAAAAGGCGCCACTTTGCTGAAAACGGCCAGAGGGGGAGCGGTCGCTACTGATCAGAAGGCCCTATTGAGGTAAATGGTTGTAGTATTTACACTTCTGAGCTGATGCAAGGCAGGCGGTGACGTCTTGAGTCGTGGGTTCGGATCCCGTCTGGCTAAATAAAACTTTTCTAGGTCTATCCTAAGTCTACGTTTGGCCTTGAAATACTTCTGCATTTCAATATTGCCATTTTCTAAACAGTTAAGATCTAGTTGTCCCCTTTAAAAAGTGTAACTATTAAAAATTGTAAACTAATAAAGAAGTATATTCTACGTAAAGAAAATATTTAGCATAGTAAAACAACTTTCGACTTGAAATTTAAGAGCAATAGGCGCCAATAGGCTCGTAAAGCTGGTTTTTAAATGTTTGTTGCCAGAAAGCATATTTTTCAACCAAAATTAAATATTTAATAACAGTTGTATAATAATTACAAAATGACTTCCGGTTTCATTAATGCTCGAATTAGTCAAAACAAATAATTAATGGTAATATAATAGTAGTTTAGCAAACACTTCTGTTTTTAATTTGGGTTAGTAAAGTCAGGGTGTTTTGATGATAGGGGATGTTATATGATATACATTAAATACAATACTACGCTATGCACCACTGGCCACCATTGAGTGTTTTATCATGGAAAAAAATTGTAGTGATAACAATTGTTTTACTCTCTCTGACATATACGGTTGACCTCAAGGACAGGTTGAGAGCAGTTTTTTAAAAAAAATATTTGAATTGATAAAATAATTCTAAATGGCTTTTCGTCAGATGATCTTCAGTACAAAAATATGGAAATGAGTGTAATCGATGTTTCTCAAACAGCTTTAAGTTTTTAAAATATAACTATAATTTTATCACTTGCCGTATTTTTAAAAGATTAAAAAAAGTAAATTAATATGATTACATAGACTTTTCATGCCTATTAGTATTAGCAGTAACTTTTGTGCGATTACCGATTGGTTGAAAATTCCTATG